AACAGGAAAAAATAGAGTGAATGAAACAAACTCTAAATGTAGAAAACTATTGAGGGATAATGTGGAAAACTAGTGAGGGATAAATTGCCAAACTGGGGCTAAGTTTTTGTTTTCTTCTCACTTTTAAAATTTCCCATGAGTCTTAAGTAAATAAAAAATAATCTGTTCTTAAGTGTTCCATGGTCAGTATGCAAACTAAAGGGTTTTTATTTTCTCACAGTAACCACAGAAATAAAACAGATTACCTACCCAATGCCAAAGAATAATAAAGAAAAACAAAGTTGACATTGGATTTAGTTTGGGAAGTTTACAGAAGCATTTTATAACCAATGTATTATAGGAGAAGACAGGCATATAAATATTTTGTCTGAAAGGGCTGCTTTAACCTGTCTTGCATTCTTTCTGTCCCCTTCCAAAGACCTTCTTGAGGTGGGATAAGAGGTGATCAGACTTAGCATTTTTATGTTACTTAATTCTACTAAGCTGTTCTCCCCTGCTGCCCTTGCCAGTGTCCTGCCGTCAATTGTCACTGACTTAGTGACCCTGATTCTGTTGCTTCAATTTTAACTCTTTGGACCTAAGATTCTGAAATGGTAGTCTTATTACAGACATTTTTCCCCCTGGTTCCAGTCATCTATTTCCTTGGCTATCATCTTTCTCTCCTTCTGCCTTGTCCTTCATCTGAGTACACTTATCTCCAAGCTTTCAATGGGGTGCCTGCTGAATTCCAGAGGACATTTATGCCTCCCCTACTAAGCCAGCATTAAAGATACTTCAAGATCTGACCAAAAGTTAACAGCTCTTTGTGTGTACCCCATGTAGTAACCAAAATGGCATCATCACAATCAGTTGCTCAATCCAGAAGTTGTAGAATTATACTTGAGTCATCTCTGAATGGGTCATTCCAGAGTCTCATCTCCACATCCAATCCATTCTCAATTCACCATGAATTTATATCTGCCCATATTTCAAGTCACTACTTTCTATTCCTTGAATACCTCCAACAGTCTCCATCCTGGTTTTTTTTTAATTCTCCTTTTGCCTGTCCCCATCCATTGCCCTCACACTAGTTAGGTTATTTTTTCCCAAAAGAGAATTAGATCATATTTTTCTTCTACTAAAAGCATTTCAAGCCTTTCTCTCACTTCTCTGAGGTAAAATCCCAGATAGTCAATAAGATCTTGTCTACCTTTTTAACCTTCACTTACATTACTGTCCCTCTTCTCTACTACACTTCATGCAGATGGGCCTTTATTCCTCTTTATATTTGCTCCCAAATTTTGCTACTGTGTTCTTTGCATAAACTTTTCCATCATCCTCAAATACTATTCCTCCCTCATAACCTGGGTAATTGTCACTCTTCCCATGGAAATTCTTCAGACTCCCCAAAGTGTGGTTTGTGTTGTGACCAACTGTTATTTTCTTTTATAGGAAACTACAGTTTTCTTTATAGACCTTAATACAGTTATAACTTATGTGTATTCTGTTTAGTTAAGATAGCTGTCTCCCCTTTATTGGACTACAGCCATGACTAAATTACTGTATTCACCAATAGGTATCCAGGTACTGAAACTATTTCTGAGGCAGTGAGTTGCTGAACAATTACTTGTTGATCAAATTATTAAATGATATGACTGCAAGTAAAACTCCAAAAGTGAAAACTAAAACAGCCACCTCAGAATATTGTATATTTAAAAGACGCAATATATCCCACCCCAAAAGCTCTTCTAGAACCTTGCCACATGTGGATCAAAAGTGTGCTGAAATAGTTCTGTTTGTTTTCTTTAAGTGTGTTGTGCTTCCTTAAAACTATGGCAGTGAAATCTCTATGAAGCAGATCCTGCACCTTCCCTTTAGTGTCAGTCCATGCACTTCACTTTGTCCATTGGTAACATCACATTCTCATGATTATTTTTTTAAAGAATTTTTGTAATTAAATTTATTTATTTATTTTTTAATTTGACCAGAGGGAGAGAGAGAGAGAGAAAGCCACTTAGCCCAGGACTCAAACCACAATTGGCCATGTGGAAACCCAGTGTCCCTAACTTGCATGTCACTGGCTAGCCTCAGTTCTCCTGATTATTCTTCATGCTTGTTTGTGTGTGTTAATGGTTGTACATTGTAAAACTGGTATTTGTTCTAGTGTTTGCAATGAGGCCTTGTTTGAGATGCTGGAGATACCACAGTGCTGGGACAGAGTAAGTGAGAGGTTCCCAGTGGTTCCCATTGCCACCAGGCACCACAGTCCTAGTTGCTGGAGAGCCCTGCAGTCTGTGATCATCCCAATGTACAATATTTCTGAGGCCCACAAAACTGCACTACTCTACAAAAGGAGCATGCACAGGGTCACTTCATCATCTGGGCCTCAGTCAGCTCCAGAATGGTAACACACTAGAAGCAGATCCACTGCCAAATAGACTCTATCCTGACACACAACAGTGTATCTGTGCATCTCTGAGGTGCCATGAGCAGCCTAGCACATGGACACAGTGAGTGGAGCATGTACATCCAGTTAGACTAAGTGGTATGATTGGGACAGGTGTGCACACAGTAGGGAGTGTGAGGAAATGTCTCTGGCTGCCACCACAAATGGGCACAATTTTCTCCTTGCAGGGGCTCTAAAACAAGTTAGTGCTCAGTAGGAACTTCAAAGGCCAACTACTGTGAGGAATCACTACCTAAATAAGTAAAAGGCATTTGTATTAGAAAGGAATACACCTAATTACCTTTATTTGTGGATGACATGATTCAGTTTTTAGGAAGTCGCTAGGAATTCGCTGCAAACCATTAGTACTAATAAACAAGTTCAGAAAAGTAACAGGATATAAGATGAATATACTGAAATAAATTGTATTTCTTTTCTTTTCTTTTTTAACTTCGCCAAAAGACATGTTCATTCACTGAAGAGAAAAGGAAAAGGGAAAGCAAGAAAGCACCCCAAATGGGCCATAGTCAAGTTACAATCTCTTCCTCTCCACTTCTCCCTTCTTTTGAGACTGTGGCTATGCCTTCCTATACACCCTACATGTTTCTCAAGCCAGACCCAGGACTTGAACTGTGCAGTCTGCCATGTGGGATGGGGCTGCCTTAACTCCATGGAGTTGGCCCCTTAGGCCAATTATTCCCTTAGGAATAATTTTAACAAAAGAAGGATACAATTGAATGTGGAAAACCACAATACATGACTAATGTTGGAAATAACTCACAACTCTGAGTGTCTTTACCATGTTTCTGAAAAATTTTCCATCCTCAGAAGAGGATAGAGTTTTCTTCTTGGTCTATTACTAGAGGTGACCTTAAGGTGAGGTCTACACTTCCAAATGTGTATTATGATCTCTATTTTCTTTTTTTTTTTTTGTAGGCATAATTTACTTTATTTTATTTGTTACTACTTTGAAATTTGACCACTGAGAGATGGAGAGAAGTAGAAAGTGAGAAAACAAGCTACCAGGTCCAGGACTTGAACTGTTTAGGCCATATGAGAATCTGGTGCCTTAACCACCACACCACCTGATGGTCCCTATTGTCTCAATTTTAAAACATAGAAAAGCCCACAAAGAGAGTAAATAACATCTATATCTTAGAGGTGGGAGTGTCAGGGATTGATGCTCCCACTCACCCCCTGCCAATCATCCTGCATTTAAACCACCCCCTAATAACATACTAATATGTGTTTAAGAGAGACCTGGTATCCAAGGGTGGGAGGAAGAGAGACCAGGGATTCTAAACTAGAAGGTGAGGGAGTACTGTGGAGATCAAGACTAAGTTCTTTGTGAATATAGAGTGGAGTCACTGAAAGACACTTACAGCATCAAAGATACAGGAATTTGAACATGGCAGG